TTGATCTCATTGTTGATCCATTCATTATATAGTAGCATGTTATTTAGTCTCCATGTGTTTGTGTGTTTTTCAGGGTTTTTTTTCTTATAATTGATTTCTAATTTCATACTACTGTGGTTAGACACGATGCTTGATGTGATTTCAATCTTAAATTTATTGAGACTTGTTTTGTGGCCTGACATGTGGCCTGTCTTGGAAAATGTTCCATGTGAACTTGAAAAGAATGTATATTCTGCTGCTTTTGGGGTGAAATGCTCTAAAAATGTCAATTAAATCCATCTGGTCCAGTGTGTCATTTAAGTCTGCTGTTTCCATGTTGATTTTTCTATCTAGAAGATCTATCCATTGGTGTCAGTGGGGTATTAAAGTCCCCTACTGTGATTGTGTTACTGTTGATCTCTGCATTTATGTCAGTCAATATTTGTTTTACATATTTAGGTGTTCCTGTGCTGGGTGCATAGATGTTTACTAGAGTTATGTCCTCTTGTTGGATTGATCCCTTTATTATTATATAATGTCCTTTGTCTCTTATTATGGTATTCGTGTTAAAGTCCATTTTGTCCAATATCAGTATTGCTAACCCAGCTTTTTTCTCATTTCCATTTGCATGAAATAGGTTTTTACATCCCTTTACTTTCAGTCTGTTTGTCTTTCAATGTGAGGTGGGTCTCTTGTAGATCACATATGTATGGGTCCTGTTGTCTTATTCATTTTGCTATCCTGTCTTTTGATTAGAGCATTTAGTCCATTTACATTTAAAGTCATTATTGATAGGTACATAGTTACTGCCATTTTATTATTCATGATTTTATCCTCATTTGTTTGTTTTCTCCTTTCTTTTGCTTAAAGAAATCCTTTTTTTTTTTAAGATTTTATTGGGGAAGGGGAGTAGCCAAGTTGTCCTTCAGTCCTAGTTATGGAGGGCACAGTTAGCTCAGCTCCAAGTCCAGCCGCCATCCGGCCACCCGTCGGCAGCTCGTGACGCTCAGCTCAAGGTGCCGTGTTCAATCTTAGTTGCAGGTGGGCATAGCCCACTATTCCATGCGGTAGTTGAACCGGCAACCTTGTTGCTAAGAGTGCATGCTCTAACCACTGAGCCATCCAGCTGCCCGCTGGCAGCTCAGGGCAGCTCAGCTCGGGCGCAGCTCACTGGCCCATGTGGGAATCGAACCAGCGACACTTGCTGAGAGCTCGCACTCTTAACCAACTAAGCCACTCGGCCAGCACTAAAGAAATTCTTTTAACATTTCTTGTAATACTGGCTATGATGAATTCCTTTAGATTTTCTTGTCTAGGAAGCTATTTATCTCTCCTTCAATTTGAAATGCTAGTCTTGCTGGGTAGAGTAGTCTTGTTTGTAGGCCCTTGTTTTTCATTACTTCATTACTTTGAATATTTCCTGCTACTCCCTTCTGGCCAGCAAAGTTTCTTTTGAGAAATAAGCTGATAGTGTTATGGAATCTCCTTTTTAAGTGACTGGTTGTCTTTTTCTTGCTGCTTTTAGGATTCTGTCTTTAACCTTTGTCATTTTAACTATAATGTATCTTGGTGTGGGGCCGTTTGGGTTCATCTTGTTTGGTACGCTGTACTTCCTAGGCTTCAATGTCTATTTCTTTCACCAGGTTAGGGAAAATTTCAGTCATCATTTCTTCAAATAGGTTGTCGATCCCTTCCTCCCTCTTCTTTTTCTGGTATTACTGTGATACGAATGTTGTTATGCTTGATGTTGTCCAGCAGGTTCCTTAAACTGTTGTCTTTCTTTTTTATTCTTTTTTTCTTTTCGTTGTTCCATTTGGATGTTTTCTGCGACCTTGCATTCTTTTTTTTAAAGATTTTTATTGGGGAAGGGGAACAGACAAGTTGATGTCCTTTTGTTCTTCAGTCTAGTTGTGGAGGAGGTCGCTTCAATGGCCCAAGTTGACACCATCATTGAGCTCTTCCCAGGTGAGGCAGATCAGTTGCCGGCTTCTGGACAGCCGCTCACGGCTTCTGGCTGCTCACACTGGCTACACATGGTAGCCCATGGCAACCCACTGCAGCAGGGGCTGCAGGCTATGCCGTCGCCGGCGACTCGCGGCAACCCAGCTCCAAGTTGAGCTGTTGTTCAGCATCTTAGCTGTAGAGGGCAGTGTCAGTGG